ATCAAGTGTTTCCAAACTGAATATAGACTGAAACTGAGTAAAAATGTGTCCAGCAAGGACTCCAGAGAGGGACTACATAAATGAAACACTTAAAGCTGAAATATTCTAGTACAGCCGAGTTATTAAAGGTGTGGAATGGATGCAAAAGCAAAGCGTTTGGTTACTGATGCCACTGTAGAAACACATATTTGATCCATTTATTCTTCTTAAGTTGTCAAATAATAATGCAAATCAGTGTTTGTGTAACTTCACAAAAGCAGAGTTTAAAAAGTTTAAAACGCACCGTTCTCAGTAATATTCCCTCGCCCTACACCAACAGAAGCGGAGGCATCTCAACCTTCACTGGGATTTAAATGTGTCAAAACACATTCCTGTGAACCTCCTCCTTCACAACATCCCGCTCACTTTCCTTTTTACTGTTTTAAGTCACGGACCCTTTTACTGGGAGAGAGTTTCTTGCTGTTCGTAATTCACTTTGAGAACAGCATGAGAGCAAAATCAGGTCCAAACAACTTAACACAAGCTAACAGAGAGAGTTCAGAGGATGGAGACTGTCAAATAATCCCGTACAAAATAATACGGACTGTGATATTGCAGAACGATCTGTGATGAGACATGCGTTAGGTGTGTGTCGGTTGTGTTTGATTAGAGAGGCTGGACGTGTGTGTGTGTGTGTGTGTTGCTGGTATTGATCGTGATGTTCTGATGTTTATGAGATGCATGCTGTCCAGCACACATCGACTGGATGAACGAGAGAGGACCCTATACTGAAGATAAGGTCAGTGTATTCTCCTTAGACTCGCTCAAACCCTGTTGTAATTATGTTTGTTCTCTCTTCTAGCATATTAAACACTACAACTCCTCGGCTGACTCACACACACTAGTCTCAGAGAGATGTGTTAGCTTGGCTAGCTTATTCAGGTCAAATTTTTTTTTTTTTATGGTTTTTTATTATTATTATTTTATTTTAATGTTGGTTAATTTAAAGAAATAGTTCACCCAGAAATGCCCATTAGACTTAATCCACTGTTATTCAGTGAAACACAACAGTGATGTACTTACAACCAACGGGGACATTATTATTATTTATTTTTTTAAAGAATAGAAAAACTACAGAACTGCCATAATTGTAGTTCATAACTTGTGCATGACATTGCAAATCTTCAGGTGTTGTATGACAACTTTGTGTGAGAAACTTTGAATTTTCTATCAATAATATGTTTAGTTCATTTTCATAATAAATTATTTAAGTTATGTTACACACGCAACCTTTAAGGCACTTATATGGAGGGTGTTGGTCATTTCTAAGGTTTCTAAGGTTCATTCGATTTCATTATAATAAAAAAGCAAGGGTTGAATTTTTTTTTTTTATATATATATAAAGTAAAGATAATTTAGGAGAAATTTGCTTAATCATCGAAGGAAAAAAAACGTAACGTTCTTAAAAAATAGGCTTTATTTTCTTAATGCAAAATATATATTTTTTGATAGAAAGAAAGTCATACAGTTTGGAATGACATGAGGGTTGGTAAACAATGACATAATGTCCATTTATTACTTTAAGTGTGTGTGTGTGTGTGTGTGTGTGTGTGTGTGTGTGCGTGTGTGTGTGTGTGTGTGTGTGGGTGTGTGTGTGTGTACGTGTACGTGTGTGTGTGTGTGTGTGTGTGTACGTGTGTGTGTGTTTATGTACGTGTGTGTGTGAGAGAGAGAGAGAGGAGAGAGAGAGTGTGTGTGTTAGGAGAGTGTGTGTGTGTGTGTGTGAGAGAGAGAGAATGACAGCACTGCCATGGCCTTAATCATGGCCTTAATCATGGCAAAAAAAGTGTGTATTTTTGGTCTCCATGAGGAAAACACTTTATAAACCAGAAAGTGATGTTGTTTGAAAATGTAAAAATGCAGAAAGTTGTGTGTAATGGGTAGGTTTAGGTTTAGGATTAGTGTAAGGGGAGAGAATATACAGTTTGTACGGTATAAAAATCATTATGTCTATTAAAGTCACGGGTGTGTGTGTGTGTGTGTAGATGTTACAAGCATAAAGACTTCTGAGATGAATATGAACCGCGGTATGGTGAAAACTCTAGAGGGCTGAATGTGAAACACATCTGGGAGGTGTACAGTACAGACACACACAATAGGGTTGAGCAATATGTTGAACATGCTGGAACAACAGCGCACCGCTGTGCAATCTTAATATTCATATCCAACAGGGATCCATTAGCATTTGGGGAGAATGTGTAATTAAAACAGTCGAGCACACGGCAACACAAAACCCACACATGAGATATGACTTCATAAGGCTTTATGCGAATCTCAACACATGCAGTTCTTGTTCGTGCACAAACACAAACTGTGCTACACACACTCATCTAATGCATGCAAATTAAGTTCTTAACACAAGT